CACTCAGTCACACAAGGATTGATATACCTCACTAATTGATAATGGAGAATCTCCTTTGAACCTAAACCTTTTGTCTGCAATTTGGATGCAAATGTGAAGGCTCACCAATGCAGTTGTGTGCGATTGGAAATGTGTGTGACTTCGTGCGTCTTTGCGCCACAGCTCTTCGGAGCGCCAACGGCTGCTCCCTGCACAGGATGAGAAAATATCCTCGGTGCGCCAACGGCTGCACCCCTGTCGTGAGAACCAGGTGATCTACTACCTGCGAACCTCCTCAAGGAGCTCTGCGGTAGTGAGTGCACGGGCAGGCTGAATGGCCGCTCGGTCGGTTTGATCCAACCACTGCTCAATGGCAATCAATGCGTCCAAAGTCCCCTGCACCCCCTGGCTGGGGTACGCCCTGAAAGCGTGCGCGCCTGTGAGTCGCGCCTCACGACAGATTGTGGCGTTGTCGTCCACAAGGATATGTGCTGCCCAACCGTGCAAAAGGTTTGCTTTGCCAGCAACGCCAACCCTGGAGCGCGTGAACTGCGTTGTACCAACGTAGATGCCCTTGCAAGCCAAGTGTACCCTTGCTGTGGCGATCTCCGGTGCCGTAGTTCGCTCGCGCTCGACCCCACAATAGCTGCAAATAATCCAATTGAATGGACCGTGAGCTGTCTGTAGACGAATCAATCCGTCCACGATCTGTGGGTGAAGCCTTCCCCCAGAGCGGATGTTCACGTCGAGCACCCCGTGCCAGTCCAGAACGATGTTGAGCGTCTTCCGGTCCGCGAGGGGTGTCCGAGGTGGGGGATCTGGGATCCCGTGGCTTTCTCGCCTTGGTGGAGGAGGCTGAGGTGGCTCTCGCTTCGGCGGTTGTCGCCAAGGTGGGTCTGGAGCGCCAAAGGCTGCTCCCTGCCCTTTTGGTGGCAACCTCAACGATGCCGGCGGTTGCTTGTACCTGATGTGTGGGCCAGGCCGGCTGCTTGCAGGGACAGAAGCCTTTCTGGCTGGCGGTGCTGCTGAGCGTGGAGGCGAAGAAGATCTTGCTTTGCTCAAAACACGTCCGCGACTGCTTGCCAAAAATGCTGCAACTGTTCCCCGCGCCGCTGGCCGCGTCCCAAACTTTGCTGTGGCTTTCGTAGCAGGGGCCGGAGGTGGGGCCGGCGATGTAGGTCGATGAAACGGTGCTTCGTATACCCCACCCGCCCGGAATGCTGCTCTGCCTGAAAGCAAATCTTCGGTGTTGTGCACTGTGTCCCCGTCGGAGTAGTCTGCCAGATGGTAAACCTCCGCGTTCCCGTAGTTTGGGGTCGAGGAACTGGACCTTTCCCCGTAGGCCTCGGGGCGGAGCCACACGTCCGTTGGCAGCTCGTGAGGATCACTGAACTGCGGCAAACGTGATCGGGCTCGGCCTGAAAATGCCCGTGGAGCGCCGGAGGGCTGCTCCCTCTGCAGTGTCCACGTGCCGGTCCGATCGATGCGAACCGTCGGATAGGCCGAGCTCCTTGGCGCCAGCACGATCGGCCTGTCGGTTGGCGAGGTCCTTGATGGCACACTCCTTGATCTGCCACGCGAGGATCGACTGGTCGTCGGGCGAGGAGTTCTGCGGGTTCCCGAAGGCTCCCGACTGCTCGACTCGCCTGCCGCGCCGAGGGCTGCGGCCTCCTGGATCGGTGTCGGAGTTCTTGACCGAGAGCGAGACCTAAGCACAATAGGTACTTGGGAGTAAACTGCTCGCAGAACTTGCCTTGACACTGACCGTGTGGAGGTCGTAGATGTCCTTCTCCTCGGAGCTGTACCAGCCACCGCGCCGTGGGCTGCGGTCCTCGCTGTAGGCAAAGCCGGAGCAGACAACCAAGCCTCAGCAGGTGAAGCCTGCTGGGCCACGGAAGGATGCGCCGCCTGCTGCTGCTGAGGCGGTGTGGATGGGGTCGGAGACGAGGGAGTGGCAGGCACTGTATCTGCACCTGCCGCGCCAGTGGCTGCGGCCCTTCGTTCTTCTTCGCGGATTGCCCGGATGCGAAGGCCGGTTCCAGGCCCGAAGGGCAGCAAGCTGCACCTCTGACCCCGGTTCCCACTGCAGCTTGGGTGGTGTAAACCCAAAACGCTGCTCGACCTCGTCGATCACGTCCTCCTGGAGCTCCCACCACACACGCTTCTTATTTGCGGCTCCTCCGCGAGTTCCACGCTTGTGGTACTCTTCCTCAACGGCCATGCGCGCCCCCTTATGGGGGAACCGCTGAGGGAGGGCCTAGTTAATCCCGAAAGAAAGGCTATACGGCTGATAACCAATCAAAAGAGCAAGAAACCCCAAACGCGCGCCGAAGGCTGCGCCCTGAACAAAAAGAGGTGGATTGACCGTGGTTAATCCCTCAGCGGTTCAGGGGGTGGTTCCTAGACTCTCGTTCCGCACTCAGCGCTGTTTCTCTTGATGTGCGCTTGAGCCAAACGGCGTTTGCCGTTCGACAAGTCTGTCATGACATGCAACCCTCAACCTAAACCAAAGTGGCCTCAAGCAAACCTCACATCAGTGACCACACAACTAGGCAAGTTACCATGCCTTTGGGGGCTAAGGGGTCGTTATTTCTTGACTTTCCCAACCCTCACCGTAAAGGACCTCCATGTCAGCTTTTGGTTCATGGGCCCGCCCCCCAAAAAAACACCTGGAAGGGTCGCAGAAAACTGGGTCCCCATATTGAGGGGAACCCGCGACCTGTGGTTTCTTTTTAGATCCTTCCAGTTGGAAATCCTGTGGGGTCAGCTCAACAGTGGCTCCGGGTACTTGGTGCGTAGCCCTGATGACCCATGTACCCCGAAGCGGGAAGTACTTAAGGAGCCTCGACAACCAAATCCCACCGTGAAGAAAAGGGTGGCAAGATGGTAGTGCTAGTGGTAGTGGTAGTGGTCGTGGTAGTGCTAGTGGTAGTGGTAGTGGTCGTGGTAGTGGTAGTGCTAGTGCTAGTCGTCGTAGTAGTAGTAGTAGTAGTAGTAGTAGTAGTAGTAGTAGTAGTAGTAGTAGTCGTGGTGGTGGTGGTGGTGGTGGTCGTGGTGGTGGTGGTGGTGGTGGTGGTGGTCGTGGTGGTGGTGGTGGTGGTAGTAGCAGCTCCGGGTGGCTGATAAGTTTCTGACTGAAATGGAAATCGACTTTCCCGATGGAGCCATACCTGAACCCGCAGCCTGATACTATGAACCCCTGAAGACATCCGATGAGCTCAGGGGGAGCTTGGTTCTTGGAATGCTTTTTGGCTTCCAATGAAACAGACCCTGAAGGTTTGGTTGATTGTAAACGCTTCATGGGATTGTGTTTTTGGGGGGGGCTGGTACCCTTTTTAGCTTGGCTTCAAAAAAAAGAAACAACACGAAATCCAGGTGCTCGCAGTCCGTTTCCCCGCGCCCCAAAGTGCTCCTCGCAGGATCCCGAGCAAATCGACCCCCCCCCAACGAAGCGCATGGAAGGCGCGGGGTTGGCGGCGTAGCTGAGGCCCAAGACCTTTGGCACCGCGGGGAAGTGGAAACCCGAGAAGCCCCCGCTGGCGGAGTTCCCGATCCACCTGCGCTCAGTGACTAGCTCCTCCAGCAGAGAGGTTAGAATAAGAGTACCCGTTTGTTTTTAATGTTTTTTTTTTTGTAGGGGAACCCTCCCAACCAAGAAAGGGGTGAGAACGGGCACTACTGGGGGACCTAGGTGCCTCCACTTCTTTTGCAGGAAACCCAAGGGAGGTTACGACCGTAGGAGCTTATTGTCCTCCCATCCTGCGAGTAAACCCAGAATGACCATTACCTTCAAATAAAAACCCGACATTGAAATTACCTTCAGGCAACCCACCCCCGTTTTTCCCGGGAAGGCAAATCACATCCCATCCCATCCTTCGCTGGGGCTCTGGTGACAGGAACAAAGGTTCCTAGAACCCGGAAACCACAAGGGTAGGGTGACTCTTGGTTAGCTGGCGCCCTGCTTTGGGGTTCTTTAAGGGAAACCAAAGGGACACCAAAGCCAAATGCTAGGGGCTTGTCAGAAAAAGTGATGAAGGAAGCCTCCGAGAACGGTGGTTCTTGCTTCCTAAAAAGTCGTGAGAGATAGCCATTCTCAGACCGTTCTCTTGTGCGAGCGAATCCATCTCTCTCAGCTTACGGAGAAGAGAGTTAGGAAGAGAAAAGAGTGTACCCTCCCTCCCACTAGCATGGCACCTGACAGGGGGTCCCTTGAAGAGGACAATTATCTTCCAGGTGCCCTCTAAAAGAAAGGAAGAGAGTGCTGGCCTGTGGGAGGGAAATCGCCAAACGTATCCCTGGATGTCCCGTCTCCTCATCCCATCATGTTAGTAGGAATTACATGGTGATGGAATGATGGAATGTAGGGAGACGAAATAACATGGAACAACCGTCGGAAAAGGTTGGTTGGCCTTCTTCTTGCCATCGGGTGAAGCGAGACAAGGGAGGGTCGGGATGTGGGGTTGGCTCAACACAGGGGAACCAACAAAATGGGTTGTTTCCTCTTGTTTGGGTAGTTTCCTGTTGGTTTCCCTTTGAAAGCAACTTAAACAAACAAACGACTCCTTTCTCTTTTGGTTTCCCTCTACAAGCAACCAAAAGGCTACCAACTCCAAAAAGCACATGCCTATGTCTCTGACACTTCTACCACTCGCCCGCTCCTCCGGGCACTGAACGGGAGCGCATCTGATTTCCCCCGAAGGGGTTTGAAACCACTCGGAGACCTCATTTCCTTTCATCACCCAAGGGAACCTATCTTTTCGGGTCAAATGGTCAGCCCAGACGCAAAACTCCTGATCACTTCTTGGCTCGCTGGGGAATTTGCTTGCCCAGAAGTTGAAAGGCTAATTTCGAAGAGGACAAAAGGTTTGGTCCGGTTCTAAACTCCTTTCCGCTGGGGCAAAAATAAAACTTAGTTCGGCCACACCAAATTGGCCATTATACCAAGGTCACCCGCCCCCCAAAGTGGTAGCCCCCAGTTGCTAACTTGGCCCGCAGCAGCAGAATCAAAATCATGACCCTAGTCAAACTCCGAGCCTGTTCTTGGCGTTGGTGCAGTAGAAGCCCACGGCCGTGGCATCTGTCGGCACGATACGGCTTGGCTGCGTGTGCACTGTGACGCCGCCTGCAGCAAAAAAGGCACGGCGTTCAACAAGGCGCCAGCGGGGCGGGGAAGGGCTTGAAAGCGCTCGAGAAAGGGAACTGGGTGTCTTATGGGCGACTCCAAAAACGGCTCCGTTTCCCTTTGATATTTTCCGATGAACTGTGCTCACCCTCTCCGGCCGCAAACGCGGCCCGGTCGGGGTCCTGATTCCGAGGGAGAACCGTCTTTTCCTGGATGGTTTTGGAGGGAAACCACAAGGAAACCACCATGACCGGTTATGACTGACCCATTTAGGGGTCATGACTCCAGGCGCATTCCATCCAGAGTTTTGTCTCCGGAGAGGAAATCATGTCATGTTTTTCCCCTGATGGCTTTGGAGCGAAACCAAACCCCCACTGTCCCCCCAACCTCAAAAAGAAATATGACAGTTGAACAATCTTTAGAGCTGATCTTCCCCCTAATATCCAAATATATTTCTGTTCCGGGGCTTGGGTACAACCTTGGAAGAAACAGGCATGGCAATCATGGGACCCGCCACCTTGTCCACCTCCGCCGTAGTCGCTGAGCTGATCGATGATTCTCACCCGGGCGGCCAGGTTGTAGTCAAAGAGGTTGTTCTCCTGGCGACCGAACATGGGACCCGTGTTTCCAGGATTTGGACCCCCCAATGGTGGCGTTCCGTTTGGTTCCCCCCCACCGAAACCCGATATGAAACGGACTACCCTAGACTGATACCCGAGCAATATTGTCGTTCAAATCTGAAGCCAAGGCAAACTAATGGTCCTCAGACTTGGTCCTTTCAGGCAAAACTATCCCCAAAAGTAATTGGTGTTGACTCGAACCCACAAAAAGCAAAGCAGCCGCTTTCATGGACCCCAACGGAGTCTACGTGCAAAACAAAATCAGGTGCCCTGACTTTCCCTTCCCTTGCCTCTGGGGCATCCTCGAACTAAAAGGTTTTCCTCTGGTTTCCAAATATACAGGAAACAGGGTACCTTAAACAGAGGAAACAGGGGAAGCTACCCATGTCCCAATTCCAGAGAGAAATGCAGCGGATTCCAAATATACAAGGACGAAGAACAAGGTACCCCCCAAAAACCTCCCGCCCTAGAGTACCCCCCAACCCCCCCCTATCCCCCCCCCCACAAAAACCTCCCACCCCCCCCCCTTCCCCTCCCATCCCCTCCCATCCCCCCCCCCCCCATCCCCCCCCATCCAACCCCTCCCTCATCCCCCGCTCCTTCATCCACCCCCCCATCCACCCCCCTTTGCACCTCAATGCCATCCTCCAAGTAGTAGGCGCTGCCGGAGACGTCGTAGGCCACGTTCCGCGAGGCCCGGGAGGAGGAGGTGCCGTGGATCGTGAAGGCGCGGAAGAAGCTGTGCCGCACCGCGTTGTCCTCGAAGAAGGACTCGCCTGCCGCATGGGGTTGGGGGGCTAACCAAATCATGGGGGCCGGGGAGGGAGGGGCGGGGGAAGCCCAAGTAACGCTTTTTAACTTAATAAGGATGTATTTTGGCTCCCTCCCCCTCCCTGGGCTGGCCATCATGGTTGACCAAATGCCATTACACTCCCTTTCCACAATCAAAACCCGGCATTCAAATGGTCGTAATCCCAGAACCATGCTTCAAGGTTTTTTGCAGGCGGCCGCAACTATTTCTGGCTGGGACTGCCCCTTACTAACCTTCATCTACCCGGGTGTTGATTGTGGCTCAAATGGGTTTGGGGGGTTGACCAGAAGGTCCTCTACGAGACGTTGCCGGTAACAGCCGAAAAGATGATAATTCCCACTAGGTGGGAAAAGTTACCCATAGTCATTTTGGGGCGAGGAATATTGATCAACCCCCAGTTGGCATACTCTTCTGGGTTTGGTTTAAAGGGAACCAACCATGTAATGGGGTCATGTTTGAAACATAGGGAACCACCTCAAAGTGGTTCGTTCCTAAATGATGTCCAGCAAAGGGATCCCGTTATAGGCAAACCCCAAAGAAGATTCTTTGAACTTTAGTGGTTTAAACCTTTGCCCCAGCTCCTCTATGTTGGGCTCAAAAATTTCAGCACCACCCGTTCTTAGCACTACTTTCATCCCAACCACTCCCTGGTTTCCCTTTTGGCGAATCCAAGAGACAAGGGGTTGGAACTTCCCCCCGGTTGCCTGCCACGTCCCCCATCATGTGGAAGTGGAAGGCATACCTGCGGCCATGGGTTCGCTCAAACGCAAGGCGCATTGACACCCCGAGCCGCTGAACAATTGGGGTCCTGGGGAGGAGCAGAAGCCTTACAAAGCCATGAACCGTCAAACGCAAAACCCACCACAGCCACCGGCTCTTTGGGCGCTCCCGATTTGAGTGGCTCCCGACTCCTGCCTGCCCATGACGTTCTCCTGGCCCATGCGGTAGGCCAAAACGCCGGCCACTCGGCACACCGCGCTGCCCATGCACATGAAGTGGCCCCCATAGCGACTCCCCTCGCTGGCCTCATCTCCTCGGGAATCTTTTTTGGACCGGAAAGGAAGGAGACCTAAAGGGGCATTGTACGTCAGGCAAGTGATTCGTAAGCCTGGCTATAACACACTTAGAAGACTTATAACCATGGGAAGTAGGTTACAACCAGGCTTACTAACCACTTACTAAGTACATAAGGGTCCTGATGCAATTTGAGGGCTCAAAATACGTCCTTTTGGCACCTCTAAAACAACTCGGAGTATACTCGGAGTGTGGTACGGGAAGCCCGGGTTCTGCATACCAAGCCCCAGGACCCTTATGGTAAATGGAACTCTGACTAGGGGAAAGGCGCCCAGTTTTGCTTTTGTCTGGGTTCAGATTTTGGGGTTGGAAAACCCATGTCTCCTCGCAAAACCGACACATCAAGCGAAGACGAGCCCAGTGGTTTTGGTAGGTTCCACAGTTGGCTTTGGCACACAAGCCCACATTCCCAAGAGGGGTTCACATAGAACCTGCAAACCAGGAGTGGACGGGCTCCCATGGCACGTGGCTGCCAGGCTTGGGATGACCAAAGGAAGGTTCCCAACAAAACCTGGGAGGGGGGGCCTTGCTAGCCATAAGGAAAGCTTAGGAAGCCTTTATAGCCTTTATAGCCATAACTTGGGGTTTGAAAAGGAAAGCCATAAGAAATCTGCCAACGAACAACGAGTGAAGGAGAGCTCGCAGTGTTCGTATCGGTAGGGTTTCATTCTGCGTTCACACCCCGTGGTTCCACTTTCTGCCCAAGCTACTTTGCTACTTATGATTTATATGGGTCCGTCTTTTCTAAGGTTGGACCCCCCCAAAAAAAAAGGTGTTCCTGCTGGTGTCCCTTTAAAGCCACCAAAAAAGGGGTACCCTCACCCCCATATCCCTTTTGTGACAGAAAATGGCCTTAAAAACAGCAAGCCTTTCGGGGAAAGGTGTGCAAACAGGGGTATATGCAAACATCCCAAGATACAAGCAAACGCGCGGACAAAGTGGTCGCCAGCCGTTTCCGTCGCTCAAATTTGGTGCACTTTTACTCCTTGGAACGTGATGCTGCGCGAGAGCAGCGCCACTTCAGCAAAATACTCCGGCCCGCCGTAGTGATCATGTTGCAGCGGCTCTGAGATCGTCACCTGCCTCAGGTGGAAACAGCATGCAATCCTCTGCAGGTTATGCTGGCGTCTTCAGGGAATGAGCACAGCTGAATGCTCTGGCAAAAAAGCAATTAAGAGGTGTCTGCAATTAAGAAGGAGAAAGAGTCAGGGAGACACAGAAAGGGAACACAGAGTAGCAACTGTCGCAGAACGATTTCCATCCATCCGGGTATCTGTCAAAATTCGGGGGGGACCGGGAAACCTTCAATCTGTTTCTTCTTCTGGTGTCCTTTTCGACCAACCTGAGGCGCAGCCTCGAAAAGTACGACCCCTGTACCAAGAGCGAAAGTCTTTTGCTGTGCGAGAAAAACATGCCTCCATTTTGGTGAAGACCCCTGGCAAAAAAAAACGGGATAAACTCCTTTTACAACCAACTGGGAAAATACAGAATATTCATTTCAGAAAAAGGAAGCATGCCATGCCAAGTTGCGAGCCACTGACCGCGGTGATCTCCCGCACCTCGTTCTGATGATCGTCCGGATCATCGGTCCACGCGGTGGTGATAACCACGATCTGCTGCCCCACTTGCCAGTCCACCTCACCGGAGTCATGATGGTTTTGACTCACTTGCCCAAAGGACCCAGAAATAAAAGGTCAACCTTTTGGCACCTAAGAATGGACCAAAACGGGAAAAGCAAAAGGTCAAAAGGTCGGCTTTGGGCAACTGAGTTGAAGGAAGAGGGGCTGGGTTTGTCACCACAAGTCATCTAGCCTTCTTTGGGACCATCGACGTGGAATCCTCTAGTTGCGTGCCTTTTTAGGTTCCCGTTTCACCTTGGTTTCCGCTACCAAAAGGAAAACCACCAATCGTGGGGTGCCTCCTATTCGAACGCACACAGTACCATTTTCTCCACCGGCCGATGGCAGAAAGACGATTCCAGCCCTGGTCGGTGTTTGGTAAATTGGAAGTAAAAGGAAGTAAAAAGGTACGATGGATGCCATCAATTTTGCAAGTAATCCAACCACACTCAGCCACCAAGCCATGGCAAAATACCGTAAAACTCTAGAGAGTGTTTTTCCTTGCCCCTTTACTTGCAATATATTGGGCATCCACGGTAGCATCCCGCCCAACGAGCAAGAAAGCCCTATTTCGCGATTGATGCTTGGAAGTGGACTCCTGCCGGCCGTCCGATCATGCGGCCCCCCTCACGTTGGTGGAAAGGGGAAACATATCAAGTGTTTCTGCAGAAGGAAACGAAGAAGAAAAAAAAAAGGGAAACAAAACGCAGTCTTCCGCGTGTCACACTCTCCAATTATCTCAATGAGTTGACCAAATCGACTGCCAAAAGACACACAAGACACAAATGAAAGGGAGACGCCGTTCCTTCCCTCGTTCCTCCCGAAACCCTGCCTCAATCACCCACTCCGCACAACCCACCGACCGAACAACCGGCCCGAACCTTCCATTTGGGTCAGACCCCTAGAAAAAATATATATGCCCAGTAGTGATTAAAAGAGTCCTTTTAAAAACCAACCAGGGGGGAAAAAAACATATTCCTTTCAGCAAATGCCAGGAACCCCGAAAACCTCGCCTCAATCACCCGCTCCCCAAAACCCGCCGAACGCCCAAAAAACCGGGCGACCGCAAAAAACCGCCCGAAAACCCGGCGACCGAACCGAAAGCCGACGCGACGCGCCTCGTCCATGAGCTGCAGCGTGCTGCTCCCCGCTTGCGCCTGGGCGCTGAGCCGCGTCCAGGTGGGCGCGTACCGCACGCCGAAGACCTCCAGCAGCCCGCCGTCGCCCACCACCAGACCCTTGGTCTCCAACGGGTTAGAGGACCTACGGGACAGCCGGGACCAACGCCCCACCTGAGTCCAAAAAGCCGAAAAAGACCTCAAGCGGGGGAGAGCCCACCCCACCTGAGTCCAAAAAGCCCGCCCCCAAAAAAAAAATTAATAAGGTGAGAGACAAAAAAGCCAGAAGTGAAATGAGTTGGTTGAAGCCAGTCCAAAGAGACATGGGTTAAAGTCAACTTAGCTCAAGCAAATGAACCAAATCTTCATGTTCGTTAGCGTGGTTGGGTACCAAGGAATGTACCAGTGTTGCAGCAATGCCATTATACCAACCGATGGGTGTGTCTTTTCTTTTTCAGCGTACCCTTTGTGGGGTGGTTGAAAGGTAACCAAAAGGAAAACCAGGTCCCCTAAAAAACACTTATGTAACCAAAACGGTACCGCAGGTTATGGAAGTGGGTTGCTGATGCCAAGGTACGGCTTGGTTGGAACGGGTCTTCTCAAAGGTGCCCTATTGAAAAAATACTGGACAGGACACCTATGGGTCTTCTGCCTTTTCTTACAGCTAAAAACCCATGCCCAGCCAGTTGTTGAGATGGTTCCCCGCGCCTGGCGCCTTTATCGCCAGCCCCGGTGAAGGTCACTGTGACGCCGCTTAAAGGGCACGTCGCAGAGCCCATGCGGAGAGTTCCTGCGCGGCAGATCGCACAAAGCTTTCCACCGTTCCGGAAAACAAAAACCTTTCGGTGATACCAACGTGGGTGCGTCTTTCTTTGAGGGTACCCTTCTTGGTTGGAGCTTTTTTTGCAGGGAAACAGAGAGGAAACCCACTATTTTGGGGATCCACCAAAAAATGACAGACCCAAGTGAGCGGACCTCCTATCGCCGTGACTCCTACCTCCCAGTCCTTCCACGTACAAAGCGCGGAGCGACAAATCCACGTTGGGCGCCACCACCAGTTCGGCGCCACTGGCCACCGTCAACGAGCCCAGGTTCGCCGAGTCCGACAGCAGATAGGAGCCGCCTGAGGTGAACCCGGTACTAAAATGGTGAACCCAGAACCATGCTTCAAGAATTAAGAAGGCGGATATCCGCAGCTATTTATGGCAAGGGGATTGGCCCTTACTAACCTTCATCTACCCGGGTTTTGGTTGTGGCTCAGGTGAAGTGGCAACGTTGACAGGCCCCAAATAACTTACACAAGAGGGCATGTGGCCATGGTTCAAAACCAATGGGATCCCATTTTGGGATAGGTGTACCACCCATTTTAGAACCTATCTTAGTGAGGATTGGGATGTTCACTGGGGGTACGGAGTTTTGACTCATGGCCATATGGGTCTGTCTTGTTTTGGAGTTGGCATCCCCTGTTGTTTTTGCTTCTAAAGGAAAACCAAGAGGAAAACTGTAAGGTCCCCTACAACAAGACACACCAACATGGGTATGTGTCAAAACAAGGGGGCAAAAGAGGACCTCACACGTGGGTGTGAATTTGCAAGGTGTCCAAAGCACTTGGACTTCTCAACCAGTTTGTACGGTGGTCCTTTCGGTGTCCCGACAAACACCGCCAAGAGGGCGGTGTTAAACAATACACAGCCACATGACCAAGGCTTTGTCCACTTTGGGAAGTTTGCAGCTGGTCCCCCCTAATCATGGGTTTGGTATGGGTTTGGTGTCTAAAAGTCGGGGTCGACAGTAGGGAAACCCGCAAAAAGGGCGTTCCCCTTGGTCGTCCTATAAAACTAAGGCCGAACAGGTACGGGGCACCCTCCAAAAAGACCCACTCCCGAACTTGGAAGCCCGCACTTGCTTGCACTGATGGAGTTGATTTGCACGTTCCATTGTGAAATGGCCATGCTCATTTTTGCATTGCCCTGAAGCCGGCAGCGGAGGTCTGCGCTTGAAAAACAACATCTGCCAAGGACAAATGCCTTCAAACATTCTTCAAAGTTCAGTGGGAACATGCCCAAGCAACCTGAACTGGGGAGGAACAAACGTTCCCATTTGCGACGAGCCATGCTTGATTCCTCCAAGGCAGACTTCAAAACCCACTGGGTGATTTCGCCAGGGATCGGAACCGGGTTCAAGTCTTCCTTGGAACCAAAACGCGCGGAGAGTCCGGTTGCCCAACCAACACAACTCGCCCAACCCGATCTTGGCGGGGCGCTGCTGATGGTCAGATCAGACGTTGGGTTCCGAGAAGCCAGGAAGTCCGCAAAGGGCGAGAGCCCGGGCCCCTCGGCACTAGAGATGCCGGAGTTCTGTTCTACCAGATGATATGGCTGTGAGTCAAAAATAGGGTAACTCCAAAATGGGTTGCCCTGGTAAATGGAACCAATGACTAAAACCTGTGGTCCCCTGGTGGTTTAATTTTGACCCACACCCATATGGAACCCACGGGGAGAAAGTTATATCGCCTGTCAAGGTCACTGCACAAGCATGTCTCCGGGGAACAGTTGGGTGAAAGTGGATGGCTCAAATCCTACGGCCTTCTGGTTTCATCGAGTGAAACGGCGCATGAAAGTGGGAATGGTGCCATCTATACTTTCACTGAGCCCATAGCTTGGTTGACGTTGGAAGGGGAGGAAGAAAAAACAATAGCAGTTAAGTGGGGATTTCCAACAAGCAAAAATGCAACATGTTTCCCAACAACAACCATGATAGGTTGTTGTTGTTTTTGCGTGGCCATCAAACCAATCCTCCCCGCTGCAACCTTTGAATCTGCAAGCCACAAGCGTGCATCGCGACAAGGGCTCTAGAGAAGCGCTCCACTCCTAATCCTCTTCTTCCATTTAGTTAAGGCCCCAGGAATAAAAATAAAAAAAATATGTCCAGTAGTGATGAATTCGTTTTAAACCCAACAAGGGAAAATTAAACATATACATTTCAGCAAATGGAGGTCTTTAAACCCTGTAGGATCTCTTTATTCGGCGTACAGGATTATTTAGCCCGCCCTCAAGTCCTCACTCAACAGACTCTGATATTAGCTACCCAACCACCCACTCTCGTCTCCCAAAAAGATCTACTCAATCACTACCATTCTACTCAACTCGCACATATCTACTAGGTCCTCCAGTAGAGGCTAGAACAAGGGTGCCCTTTTTTCTGTCGTCTATTCTAGTAGGGGACCCCTCCCCAAAAAAAGTGGGTCAAAGTTGGCACTACTGGGGGGCCTAGTCTACTTAATCACTACCAATCTACTCAATCACTACCATTCCTGGGCTGCCCTCAGATCCCCCGCTCAAAGTTTAACTTCTAGTGGGTTAAACGGAAACTACCACTAAACGCTAAAAAGCGTTTAAGCGCTCAGGAACCGGATGGCCTTTGGGAGGAACCGGATGGCCTTTGGGAGCCACCAAGTTGCCCAGTGCAACCTTGACAATTCCTTGGTGGAAATTGGAAGGCGAGCAAAAATTTCAATTTTAGCAGTTAAGTGGGGGGTTCCCACTAAACCACAAAAAACAAAAATGTAAAATGTTTCCCAACAACAACCATGATTCTTCGTCTTTGGAGCCCTCGGACTGCCGCTGAACTCGCACCTCCCACGCCCCCCCGAGCTCGGCCGGCGATTTGCTCGGCCTGGTGCGGGCAGCCGCTGGCAGCGCCGCTGCCGGCGCCTCCGAGGGCCCCGAAGAGTCGCGCGGGGAATGGTGGCCCGTGTTCTTGGAGGGGACCCTTTCGGGGGGATGGGGAGGTTTTCTGGTTGTTTTAAGGGAAGCCGCAAAAGAACACCAGGGTTCCTGCAAAGGTTGTTTGGGTTTTTGTTTGCTTCCAGGGGAGCCGAACAGCAAAAAAGATCAGGGTGGGGTTCCCTTTGTTTTGGGATGCTTCTTGGTTTGTGTTGCTTTTTCAGGGAAGCCGCAGGAACACCCAAAAGTCATGTCAGGGTTCCCTGATTTACAAACAAGCCCATGTGAGCAGCGCCCGCTTCACCAATTGACTTTTGTTCTAAGATGGTGGTGAAGTTTATGCGGACTGCATAACCCGAAAGAAGAAACACAAGTAGTAGGACCCCTTTGCAAAGCGGCCAATGAGGATTTGGGCGCTGCTCATGTGGGAAAACAAACAAGTAGGGCCTGGGCGGGTTGGCCCCAAAAGCGCATTCTTGGGATCCATCTTGTGTTGCAACTTGCGCATGAGGAGATCAAATGGAATTCTTTAGGCTGGAGGGGGGGGTAGCTGAGAGGGAATGCCTCTGTCAGTGTCTTCAAGGGTGGGTTGTTGATACACCGATTGACCTCACCTGGATTTCGAATGACAAAGTTGAGCTTCTTTGAAAGGGATGCAGGTTGTCGAAGGTTCACCTGGCAGAGCACGAAGCCCATTGACTTTTGGATCTAGGTCCTCCAGTAGAGAGGTTAGAATAAGGGTACCTTTTTTTCTGTAGTCTATTTTAGTAGGAGAACCCTCCCGCACAAAAAGGGGGGAAAAGGGCAATAAGGTGGGACCTACAAATCTACCACGACGGTTGCAAAGATTTATGTATACGCCTTGCCATCCCCCAACCCCCCGCCGAACCACCCATCAGGGATCTCATTCGAAATCGGTGTTTGTTGTGGCTCAAATATGCGGGGGATCCCCCAAAACATGGTCAACTGGGAAGTAGAACCGACCAAAACAAAAAGTGGGGGGGGGGGGCGGTTTGAGGCGCACCGGTGCAGATGGGAGGAACCGATGTCGAATGCCTGCTCCTGGCATGCGCAGCTGCTCAAACGCAGGGGTGTAGGGCGTCTGCTCCATCTCCACAGAGACCTGGCGGCTCAAGGGATTTGTGCGGGCACCCTTGTCACCTTTAATGAAAACCAGAAGAAAACCTTGGCATGTTTCGGGGTACCTTGCGAGGTTCTCCTTGTCTTGCCCTTGCGATTCCGCCCCCAAGAATTGCTCGGAGCCCCAAGAACAAAGTGCAGATATCCGCAGTCTTGATTCTGTACCTACCATGTTTTGGGGGTATCCTTGCGTGCCAGATGTTAAGTGTGACTCAGGTGTTGAAAGGTCAACCCTGCCCGGGTTCGGGGAAGCATGCCAATCAGATACCGTGATACGTGCAGTTGTTGATCCTGCTGGTTGGGAAATCCACTACAAACGGGACGAAGTGGCTCTGGAGAATGGTTGGACCCTTGGTTGGTTGCTTCAAGCAGTTTTTTCTGAAATGCCAGAAGGTCGTTTCCCATCCTGCCATGACTGCTTGAAAGCCACGACTACTTGATCCCTTTCATGGTTCCGTCGGTATCGCAAGCGGGGCTGGGCAAATCGTGCCTGAACAACAAGACCCCATCCCCCTTTAAACGGGACACCACTACATTAAACAAACTAGGCTCTGAAACCATGGTTTTTGAACAGGGGGTTGGCCCACCCTGATCACGAGTGCCAACCAAACATGTTCCAAGCACGTCTGCTGAATCTTGTTCCTATCGGCTGAGACTCCAAGCTGAACATCTCTGTGCCAGCCGGAAATATGGCTTGACCTAGATTCGTTCCACAAAACCCGCCACCATCCATGTTGCAGGGAGAGTGTTTAGTTTAACAAAGATGAACCGCCACCATCCAGGGAGAGCACTCGAGTGCTTAAAGATGGTTGAAAGGAATGGCCGGGGGGACGGAAACAGAACGATAGGATCCCTACTCCATGCCCCTCCCACTTCGCTTCGCCTGCTGCTTGAGCTCTGGCTTCAGCTGGATCATGGACAGACTCTTGGTGCCGGAGAAGCCTCGAGTTCGGAGCGTGGAAGGCGGAGCCACAGGGGGGTTCGAGGGAAACCAACGGGGAAACCACAAAGGTCCAGGGTCGGGCTAGGGCTTGAATCTGTCCCAGAATTCAAAGCAGAACTTGAGAGATATGTTTTTTTGTGCAACTCGCCCCAAGCTGATCCGGATCCCCACAACGGCTGCACCGCAACAAAAACCTCCGCCATGGATTCGCTTCTGAATCCGCTGGGCCCTCCCCCGCGCCGCTTTCTGCGAGGCACTGCTGGGCGTGGCAGGCCGGTACCACATGGACACCGCGACCAGCGCAATGGCGGGCACGATCGCCACGCCGGAATGCATCGCCATGGCGAGGAATTCGAACAAGGATAGAGCTTGAAGCAAAAGCTGCCCAAAGCCAGGCATGAGGCATGGATCCAGCTCCAGATTGCCTGGATCCATGTTTTGCAGTTTCGCAGTCGTGGCTGAGAAGCCTGGTTACCCACTGGGTTGCAACCATGAGGGCCCGCCCGAACCCCGACAAGAAACCCAAAACCCACCCCCCAACAAGAAACCCATCCACCCCCCGACAATTTTTGTTCTTTCACCCCACGACAAGAAATCGCTTTGGGGCCTGAGGAGGGATTGGCTGGGGATCCGCTTTTCGAGCTGGAATGCCGGATTCCAGCTCGAAAAAGGTTGTCTTGGGGATCCGCTTTTCGAGCTGGAATCCGGCAATCCAGCTCGAAAAGCGGATCCCCAGCCAATCCCTCCTGAAAGGGGTCCGGCAATCCAGCTCGAAAAGCGGATCCCCATCCAATCCCTCCTGAAAGGGGGCCGTGATGAAGGTTGTCTTGGGGATCCGCTTTTCGAGCTGGAATCCGGCAATCCAGCTCGAAAAGCGGATCCCCAGCCAATCCCTCCTGAAAGGGGGCCGTGATGAAGGTTGTCTTGGGGATCCGCTTTTCGAGCTGGATTGATGAAGGTTGTCTTGGGGATCCGCTTTTCGAGCTGGAATCCGGCAATCCAGCTCGAAAAGCTGATCCCCAGCCAATCCCTCCTGAAAGGGGGGCCGTGATGAAGGTTGTCTTGGGGATCCGCTTTTCGGCATTCCGGGGATCCGCTCTTCGAGCTGGAATGCCGAAAGCGGATCCCCAGCCAATCCCTCCTGAAAGGGGGCCGTGATGAAGGTTGTCTTGGGGATCCGCTTTTCGAGCTGGAAACCGGCATTCCAGCTCGAAAAGCGGATCCCCAGCCAAAAGGGGGCCGATCCGCTTTTCGAGCTGGAATCCGGCAATCCAGCCCGAAAAGCGGATCCCCAGCCAATCCCTCCTGAAAGGGGGCCGTGATGAAGGTTGTCTTGGGGATCCGCTTTTCGGCATTCCGGGGATCCGCTTTTTGAGCTGGAATGCCGAAAGCGGATCCCCAGCCAATCCCTCCTGAAAGGGGGCCGTGATGAAGGTTGTCTTGGGGATCCGCTTTTCGAGCTGGAATCCGGCATAAAGCGGATCCCCGGCCAATCCCTCCTGAATAGGGGGCCGTGATGAAGGTTGTCTTGGGGATCCGCTTTTCGAGCTGGAATCCGGCATTCCAGCTCGAAAAGCGGATCCCCGGCCAATCCCTCCTGAAAGGGGGCCGTGATGAAGGTTGTCTTGGGGATCCGCTTTTCGAGCTGGAATCCGGCATTCCAGCTCGAAAAGCGGGGGCCGTGATGAAGGCGTCTTGGGGATCCGCTTTTTTTGGGGATCCACTTTTCGAGCTGGAATCCGGCATCCAGCTCGAAAAGCGGATCCCCAGCCAATCTCCTGAAAGGGGGCCGTGATGAAGGTCTTGGGGATCCGCTTTTCGAGCTGGAATCCGGCATTCCAGCTCGAAAAGCGGATCCCCGGCCAATCCCTCCTGAAAAGGGGGCCGTGATGAAGGTTGTCTTGGGGATCCGCTTTTCGAGCTGGAATCCGGCAATCCAGCTCGAAAAGCGGATCCCCAGCCAATCCCTCCCTGAAAGGGGGCCGTGATGAAGGTTGTCTTGGGGATCCGCTTTTCGAGCTGGAATCCGGCAATCCAGCTCGAAAAGCGGATCCCCAGCCAATCCCTCCTGAAAGGAGGCCGTGATGAAGGTTGTCTTGGGGATCCGCTTTTCGAGCTGGAATCCGCCATTCCAGCTCGAAAAGCGGATCCCCAGCCAATCCCTCCTGAAAGGGGGCCGTGATGAAGGTTGTCTTGGGGATCCGCTCGAGCTGGAATCCGGCATAAAGCGGATCCCCAGCCAGTCCCTCCTGAATAGGGGCCGTGATGAAGGTTGTCTTGGGGATCCGCTTTTCGAGCTGGAATCCGGCATAAAGCGGATCCCCAGCCAATCCCTCCTGAATAGGGGCCGTGATGAAGGTTGTCTTGGGGATCCGCTTTTCGAGCTGGAATCCGGGAATCCAGCTCAAAAAGCGGATCCCCAGCCAATCCCTCCTGAAAGTTCGAGCTGGAATCCGGCAATCCAGCTCGAAAAGCGGATCCCCTTCGCAGGAGGAAAGAAGACTAAGGGAAGAGGAAAGAAGACTAGGGGAAGAGGAAACAAGACTAGGGGAAGAGGAAAGAAAACTAGGGGAAGAGGAAAGAAGACTAGGGAAAGAGGAAAGAAGACTAGGGGAAGAGGAAAGAAGACTAGGGGAAGAGGAAAGAAGCTTGTTTTGGGCTGCAAGCATCGCTGTCGGGGTGTCGGTGTTTTTTTGGTCGTGGGGTGAAAATAAGAAATTGTCGTGGTAACCAACGTTTTAGTCGCAGGGTTGCAGTTGTTTGGCGTGGTTAAGGCCCGTGCTGTTGCAACCATGGCTTCCCTTTATTGAAACTCGCAGAGCGAACCGCAGAACCGATCGCTGGCCTGGTGCTAGAAGCAGGGCCGGCATGGCGTCGGCACCTGGAACTTAAACAACCCCTGAGGAAACCTCACCTATGGGCAAGACAGGCGATGCGCAAAGCCACCAAAAAAGGCGGGGAGAGGCTTTGCCCTACAAGGTGTTGGCTTGCGCAACTTCAAAGGAGTTCCCTTTTCTCACGCGTCAAATGGACCCTTGGACCAGGGACCCATGTTTTTGGGGCAAGGCGAAGTGGCTGTGGCACCCATTCGCCAACTCCCAGGCCAAGCACACAGCTGGCTTCTGGCCAGCAAAGAAAGCCCTCCAAAACCCGTCCCGACTTCCATGCGTGTCAGCTTCCGCAGAAGCTCCCTCAGATTCACGTGGAACTCAGAAAACCCGCACTTGGAGGAGCCTCCGTGGGTTCCTTCCGCTCATTCGGAAGTACCCTCCCTCCCAAACATCTCAAAGCCTCAATTCCCGAGGGCCACACCTCTGGATGCCTCAAGCGCTCGCGGCAAAGTCGGCCCCTGTTCACCTCTTGATCTCTGGAAAATGTACGTCTTACAACAAAGCAATGGCATCCCAAATCAATCTCTTGTGTCTCATCTCTGGATCTTCCCGCCAAACATGCTTTTCCAATTCATACACTATTCCATCCAAACAAGTGACTTCGGAAAAATATGGCTTGGGCGGGCTTCGCCTGCCTGGTCTCCGAGAAAAAAATAAGCTCAGGTGATATCCCAAACAGCATGCGGTGCTCTTTTTTTTAGTGCTCGCACCTGGTGGAACCCTGGTGGAACCCTGGTGGAACCCTGGTGGAACCCTGGTAGAACCTTGCGTCAGGGCCACCCCGGACCACCCCCGAGCCTATCTGGGCTGAGACCCCAAAGCTTGGGGAAAAACTGGACCCCCAGACTACTCCGACAAATTGGATTTCGCCCCAAAGGTGTGGTAGTTTCAACTCACTTCCTGAGCGGATTGGCCAAAAAAGATCAAACGCTTCGACTACCACTAGAACGGTCTTCCCACAAAGGATAAAGTCCAGAAACTTCAGGAGTGAGTTTCCCCAACTTTACCAGTAGTTTGAGAGTCCAGGCACGTCCGTACAATTCGGAGCATCCAGCCTTCTCTGCATCCGGATCGACCACCTCCTGTTCCAACAAACAAGCGAAACGTTTCGTGAGCCGAGCGGAAGAAGCGCGCGCATTCGATGAATCTAGTAATGGAATTGGCCAAGAATTGGGTCCGTCTTTTGTTTGAGGATACTTGAAGGAAAACCAAAAGGTAAACCATTTAAAGGCTAGAAGTCGCAAATGACATTAAGATGATTCTTGTTAAGCCTGTCGGGGAAGTCAACCATTTCATGAGGCAAGCGATGCAGCCCTGGTTATAAGCCACATGTGGGAATGAAACTTGATTGGGCCCACCGGACACGTTTAAGAGCTGTCCCCATTTGTGCTATGGTCCAACTCCTTGTGTTGGTCATAGCAACGCCTACAATGGCTGCCTAAAATCGCAAAAGGGCTCATGACCAGCCCAACTGAAACCAAGTAAAAGGCTGCCTTGACCACGGCACACCTGAACTCGCAGCCATGAGGAAGGGGGGGGTCTCAACATAGCAAAGACCTCCAAAATGGCAACGGTTCTTTGCGGTGTGCCAGTAAATAGCGGCGAAAAGTGTTCCAAATCTCATGTGAATAATCTTTCTTCAGACCCTAAAAATTAAGCGTCCTGTTGGTGTCTCTTTAAAATCACTAAAAAAAGAGCTGGTACAAGATGCAACTGCCCCGCCTTGTCGCGGTCGCTCACACTGCTCTCCTTGGCCTTGCCGATAGGCTGGGTCAAAAAGAGAGGGTAGGTGGGTGTGTCTTTCTTTAGGATACCGTTTTGGAGTGTTTGAAGAGAAACTAAACACATTTTTGGGAAAGCCCCCCTGGTTTGAGACACACCCATGCATCAAGATAGGAAAGGCCGAAAGCTGTGCTTTCCCGTTTGGTTTCCCATTTGGTTTCCATTTTGGCTTCCCTTTGAACCAACCCCCAAAAGGGCACCCCGCCAACACAGGGTTCCACTTGTTGATTTGCCCAAACCAAACGGTGAGCCCGTTTTCCCCAACGGAATCGGAACCCGGGTTGAAGTCCTTAAGTCCTTGGCGGGGGAACTGGCCTCATGATTTTACCAGGATCAAAGTCACCCAGGTGTAAAGGGAAACAACCGATTCCATTTTCTGACTTTGATAACCAGAAACCGCCAAAATAACATGAATTCAGCTTCAGGGAGCATCTCCAAAGAGCTCCAAAGGGCCACAAAACAGCCCGCCACTCGACTCGGGACAAGTGTTGGCTTAAATCAAACAACCAATTCCATTTTCTGACTTTAACCCCCAGAAACCGTCAAAATAAAATGACTTCAGGGGAATCGAAACTGGAGCCTTGGCTCCCAAAAGATTGCGTCCGCTTGAAACTCCTCCCACTGCCAGCGGAAAACCGACGAAGCGGCCGCGCCTCCGGCGCCTCCGGC